CAATTTTCTCTTTATGGCACATTTTTGATGAGAACCTTCGTTTCACACACGTTGTGACACACTTAGATGAGATGACTGCTTCCGAAATAGAGGATTTACTCTCAAACCCAAATCTGGAAAACCCTTACACGAGCCTGAAGAAAGAATTAATAAGAAGATTATCAGTCTCGGAACATAAGAGAATTAAACAGTTACTCGTAGAAGAAGAACTTGGTACAGATACGCCATCACACTTTCTCAGAAGACTGAAATTGTTAGCTGGCAGCAGCGTTCAAGATGACTTGCTGAGGATAATCTGGATGCAGCGACTTCCTGCGCATATTCAAGGCATCCTCCAAACCCAGTTAGGCGCTGGGGTCAGTACCAAATCATTGGCCGTTACAGCGGACAAGATCCAGGAGGTTCAACCTTTGAGTTCACCTGCAATGAGCTGTGACGCTATTTTGTCAAACCGAGGTAAGCCAACAAATACCTTTTCTCAGAACCCACATAGTCACAACAATCTCAATCAAGGAGGAGGTTTTGAGGCAATTTTGGAGAAACTTTCAATGCTGGAGGAGAAAGTTAACTGTCTTTCAGACGACTTGATGACATATAAAAATAGTGAGTTCAGATCGCAAAGTCAGAGCCAGCCCAGTAAACAGCATAGTACCTCACCCCACAATGACATCTACTGCTGGTATCATAAACGTTATGGATCACGAGCCACCAAATGCGTGACTCCTTGCACTTATCCTTCTACAAAAAACGAGCTAGGCAACTAGATGCGGTGTCGACTAGTTGTCATGTGCCTAGACGCCAAACTCATGAATCACCCGGAGTTGACAGCAACCACAGCAACAGGTTACAAGTACATAATTGATAACAATTCAGGCTATAAGTTTCTGATAGACACAGGTTCAGACGTAAGTTGTATACCACTAAATTTAGTCAAAAGACCCTTAAAACCATCCGGGATAGAACTCAGAGCTGCAAATAACTCTGAAATACCCACTTATGGTAGTTTATGTCTCAACTTAAATATTGGTCTACAAAGAACTCTAGTCTGGAATTTCACAATAGCTAAAGTAAGCACTCCAATCATTGGTTCTGACTTCCTAGCTCACTATTCTTTATTACCTGATTGTAGTAACGGTTTCTTAATTGACAACATTACACAATTAAAAAGTAAATGTCAGTTCATGAATACTCAGCAATATAGTATTAAATTAATTACTTACGACCCATCAAACTATCCACTGTTATTGGAATTTCCAGAAATCACAAAACCTTTAGGATTACCAAGATTTATTCCTCATAACACAGTGCATTACATAAATACGACTCCTGGCCCACCAGTCTCATCAAGACCAAGAAGGTTAGCTCCAGATAAATATAAAATTGCCAAATTAGAGTTTGAATCCATGGTAGCAAATGGAACTGCGTGTCGTTCCAAAAGCCCATGGTCATCACCACTTCATATGGTACCTAAAAAGAATGATGAGTGGCGACCATGTGGCGATTACCGAGCATTGAATGCCCGCACTATTCCAGATTCTTACCCTGTTCGACATATCCATGATTTCTCAAATTGTTTACACAGTAGTAAAGTTTTCACTGTGATAGATCTTGTAAAGGCATATACCCAAATCCCGGTTAATAAAGAAGACTGCAATAACGACCCCATTCGGTCTCTTTGAGTTCCCGTTCATGTCTTTCGGTTTGAGGAATGCTGGTCAAACTTTTCAAAGGTTTATTGATGAAGTTGTAGAGGGACTAAGTTTTTGTTTCCCCTACATTGACGATATCCTTGTTTTCTCAAAAGATCCTGTCGAGCACGAAGAACACCTCCGTATTCTGTTCAAGAGGTTAGTCAAATATGGCGTCCTTATAAATGTGAAGAAATCTGTATTTAACACTGACTCAGTAGTTTTTTTGGGATATCAAGTAACCGCTGACGGAACCAGGCCTGTGCCTGATCGCATTGACGCCCTTCAGAATTATCCTTTGCCACAAACTGCCAAAGGTCTTAGGCGATTTTTGGGAATGTTGAACTTTTACCGCAGGTTTATTCCTCACGCTGCAGAATTTCAAGCCCCTCTCCACACTGTCCTTTTGTCATTAAAAGGGAATCAGAAAGTCCCTTGGACCGTTGTATTGACTGAAAAATTCAGTAAATGTAAGGATCATTTAGCCGAAGCTACATTACTTTGTCACCCCAACGCTAATGGTAAATTAGCACTTTTTTGTGATGCATCGAATACTGCAGTAGGATCAGTACTACAACAATTGAATCAAGATGGAATATGGGAACCTCTGTCCTTCTTTTCCCAAAAACTAACACCTAAGCAAGCCAGTTGGCCCGCTTATTATAGGGAATTGTTTGCCATCTATTCGTCTGTTAAACATTTCAGACATATATTAGAAGCTAACTCCTGTACTGTCTATACTGATCACAAGCCCATCACTTTCGTTTTTCAACAAAAGAAGGACAAACTACCTCCTGTTCAAACTAACCATCTCTCATTTATCTCACAGTTCACGACTGACATTCAACATGTTTCTGGTGCTTCAAACATAGTAGCAGACAGTTTTTCTAGGATAGAATCTATTTCTGCCAACAAGACTAGTAAAATTGATCTGCATCTCTTGGCAGATTCTCAATCTAATGATGAGGAACTTAAGTCTATTCTCGAAAACAGTACTTCACTTTGTCTTCAACCAGTTCCAGTTCCTGGCTCTGATGTTTTTGTCTACTGCGATACAAAGAACGGTAGTGAACGATTGTATATCCCCAAATGTTTACGCAGAGAAGCGTTTAATTCAATCCATAACTTAAGTCACCCTGGGATAAAATCCATGAATAAAATGTTAACTTCAAGATATGTTTGGCCTTCAATAAATCGTGATTGTAAAGAGTGGACCTTGTCCTGTCGAGAGTGTCAACGTTCAAAAATTACTCGTCATGTTCAAACACCTATCAACGATTTCCCTTTGCCAAATTGTAGATTTGAACATATTCATGTGGATATCATCGGCCCGTTACCCCAAGTTGGTAATCTTCGTTACTGTCTTACAGTAGTAGATAGGTTCACCAGATGGCCGGAAGCACACCCCTTGCAAGGTATCTCTGCCGAAGAAGTCTCGTCAGCTCTTTTCAATTGTTGGATATCAAGGTATGGTGTTCCCTTGCGAATAACAACAGACCAGGGTAAACAATTTGAATCTGCACTCTTTGCTGAGTTGGGAAAATTGTGTGGATTTTCAAGATTAAGGACAACAAGTTACCACCCGTGCGCAAATGGCATGGTGGAACGTTTCCACAGACAACTCAAGGCAGCCATCATGTGCCACTCCGCCTCCACGTGGGTCGAATCCTTACCCACAGTGCTTCTTGGAATAAGAAATGCTTTCCGTGTGGATCTGAACACCTCGTCTGCTGAAATGGTTTTTGGAGAGGTTTTACGCCTCCCTGGCGAGTATTTTATGCCAACAACCCAGCTAGCACCCTTAGAGGATCCGACTAATTTTGTGTCTCGATTACGACTCAAGATTTCATCATTAAAACCAACAAATATCAAGAGACACGGCATTAACCGAAGCTTCATTTTTCGTGATTTGGACACATGTTCGCACGTTTTTCTGAGAGTAGATGCTGTGAGAAAATCTTTACAACATCCATACACCGGACCTCATCCAGTGATCAAGAAAGACAGTAAAACTATCACAATAAAAGTGAATGGTTCTATTGTTAAAGTTAGTCTTGACAGAGTTAAACCGGCCTATGTCCTTCAGAATGATGAAGTTAAGCCCTCAACTGTATCTCAAACTTCAAAGGATGTGGATTTTCAAAAGTCATATACGACAAAGTCTGGAAGAAAAGTGACATTCAAGAATCCAATTTCAGTTTGATGGAAATCGCCTTTGTCCTTGCTGTTATTATTTTTTTTTATTTGTTTTTTTTTTGTGTGACTTTTTGGAACCCTCCAAAACTCCATGGACTTCCAGTCTTCGTAGGGGGCTCCTGTAGTGAACTGACAGATTTATCAGCTGACAGATGTTTTAAATAGTTTATTGAAATTTGGTTGCTATGAAAAGAAAAATAAACAAAAGGACATTCTTTTAGGCTTTTCAACCAAAGTGGTTCATTTTTATTTGCTCTAAACAATTAATTGTTAATTACTTGTAAAAGTATGATAAATTAAACAATAATATTTAGTGAAACCTCTAGACTTTTATTTATCCTATTTAAATTAGGTTCTTTTCACTAAACATTGGTAGTAATTCGTGTTAGGTGCGTTGACGTGCCGATGTACACAGTGTGTACTTGTGTACTAGTAGATCGACGCAACAGTAAATTCACGAGGACCGAGGAGCAGTGAGCCTGCGACGAAGACTGTTAGCGAGACCCTGGACTACTCGAGCTGTCCGAGCAAATCGGAGGTAAGTTTAGGATAGGTTGAACCTACCCGAAATAAACATCTCGCAATAGTAATAAAATTAATTTTGTCTTAGTAGACGGAATGTTTTCGTCTTAGTACGGTCTTCATTGACTTTTCTCTTATCCACCTAGTTCGGCGAACAACAGGCTACTCTTATAGCTGATATTTACTTAACGAAAGATTAAAGAAGTTAACCGGTCAAAATTGGGCAGTTAATTATCTAACGACGGTTTAGCTAAACTAGCGCTAACGGCGAGTGGTGAAATCCGATTTCGTCAGTTAAGAGCTAACTGCAGTTAGAGCAAGGCTTAACGGCGGTTTAAAAGTGTGGTGAAATCGGGCCTTATACTGTTAACTCACAAGATGGTATACACAAGATGGACACTCCAATCATTTGGGACACTCTCTTAACACAATTGGGTCTGATGACGATTGGAGTGTCCAATCGAAATCGATCACCACTTACCATCTTGTGAGTTATCAGTATTAGTGTAAATCTATGTTTTAAGTGTTATTATTAGACATATCTTTTATTTAATTTCTGTTAAAATTATAATACTTTGAAAAAAGTAAACTTACTTCGGGAATAGGAAGTTCTGAAGATCGTAAATAACAGAAAGCTTCATCCACAGTAATTAACATAGTTTTTACTGGCTTCGTTTCCTTTCCATTTTCCTTTAAGCCAAACGTTGGGACTTGGTTCCATTCTTCACCTATGTCTTCCAAGGATGGCCTTAAAAATATTTATATTAGGCTAAGTGTTTTTCATGATAAACATTATTTGGGTTTTATGTAGCTTTAGTTGTTTGTTAAACATTATTTGGGAATTATTATGTAGGCCTAGCTTTAATTGTTGGTGACACATTAGGCGATTGAAGGAGGTGAAGTTTTGAGTTTTTTTTTTATCTGATTTGAGTTTTAAACCATAAGTTGAATAAGTTACCAATAACAGATTGCTCTATAAAACTATGCCTAATAGATCAGAGTAAGTTACCAGCTGAGATTTTAAAGCAGCCATCTATGTAATTATAACTTAACTAGCAGAGCACCCGTCCTTCGTACGGGGTTAGCATATAATTATAAAATGCTTATTGCAGTTATACTCAAGCTTTGCGTTTGCAATGGGGGAGGACACAGTTTGATAACATTTGGTTCATAAATTTACGGTATGATATAGTATAACACATCTACTATTGCCATAATGTTCTACCACTGCACCTAAACGATAGAAAAAAATAAATGATCAAACATTGACACAATATCACAAATTATTCATTAAATTCAAAACTCAAATCTAACTTTAAACAATCCTACTTTGACAGTTCTCATTGGGTATCACAGCTTTTTGTGCTGAGTTCAAATTAGCTGTTGTCATATATGCAAAAACAAAATAATAATAGTGCTGCACCCTGTTGGGAAACCTTATAACTTTTTAATGCTATTGCATATTATAGAACCAACTTGTACAGTTGAAACAGCTGACTAAATTCTTTAATTATTCCCTTTAAATATGAATACTCATAAGGTTAACATGGGGAACTACAGAGCCACTGGGGCAGAGCCCGAAAGGATTTTTGAAATAAGAATATGCCTAAATGTTAATCGGGAATGTGAGCTATCATCATGCCAATTTTCAGCCCAATCCGTCTAGTAGTTTATGCGTGATTGAGCAACACACACACAAACTTTCAGATTTATAATATTAGTAAGATAAGATGATTTAGTGCCAGGAGGACCGAGCGTTGCCCAGCTTTCCAGCCCAATAAAATCAACAGGCCACCGGTTTACACACTAACTCAAGTTGTAAGGATAGTGTCTCACTGTCCTCCAGTCATAAAAACATTTTTCGTTTAAGGTTTGTTTGAATCTGCTGTTATATTTATTTATTTTATTTTATTGATGTTTAGGCCTTTGATTTTTGTTGCCAAAGTAGTAGATAGGCCTAAGGGTTACCTACTGTTAAAATTTTTTACTTTCAATTTTCAATTTTTTTACGTAATTAGATTTTCATTGGCATTTTTAACTCATGAAACACGTTTTAAGGCCATAAATAAATTATTTACACCTAACATTTGGAGCAAATCGTCAAAGCAGTTTTTGAGATATTTGTGCAAGCATACATGCAAGCAAACATTGCTCATAAAACATTATAGGATACGTTTAATTACCTGCAAATACGGTTCAAATTACTTTTGTTTTTTAAATCTCCTGACCTAAATTTGTCCTCCATAAGTTTATATTATACTATATTTCCGTCTCGTTGTGCTTCTTAAGTTCCAGTCTATTGCACAAAGGGCATATCAGTTTTCTTTAGGTCAACCTGAAAATGAAAGAGCTAATTATAGATGGATCAGCTCATAGGATGTAAGTTATCAACTATTTATGGTAACATATTGAATAACCCTTGTGTAGGTAAAAAAATATATCTCCTAGAGTAAACTCATTTGATTCAAGAGTCAAAGTCTATATGATGACTAAGTTAATGGATTAATTTTGTAGGCCCAAAGTTAGCAGTTTTGTTCCAGAAAACAGGATGGATAAGAAAGATAGCTTATTCCCTATGTGGGAAATTCGCTAAACAAAGGAAATGAGGGGAATCGGGGATAGATAGGGTGAAAGAGATGTACACTAAATACAAAAATTTCAATGATAATTGCTTCAAGCCTGCTGACTAGGCAAATTTCCATTACCTGATCAGATTTCCACTAAAATAGTCAGATTTGTTTAATAATTAAATTTTAATTTTAATGAGTAGGCTACCTTGAATGGGCTACTTAGGTGTGCTGCTACAGGGAAGGTAAGAGTGTGTTTTTTATTCAAATGTTAATAAGTTAGTTTGGTAGGCAGAAATAAAATCAAACTAATAATAAGATTAGAAATAAGATCAAAATATATATATACAGGGTGCGGCAAAAAAACCGATCCATTTTCAGAACCATCCATTTTCCTTGTTCAGCGATAGGTCGTCTGAGGGTGGTGGGAGTAGGCTCGTTGGAAAGCCTATGCAATGCCATTTTTTGTAGTCATAGAGCAGTGGTCGTATGAGCTACGTGCGGTTGTTATAGAGTCGTTTTAAAAAAGTAATGATTTAGCCATTGCAACTCAGCGGCAGTTCCGTGCTTTTATTCAATTAAGCTGGGTTTTTCTAGGCGCGGAAGTGGAGAGCGGAGAGAGGAACGTGGAGAGCGGAAAAGAGATTAACATGGTGTTCCGCACCGCTTCTAGGAAAACAGTAACATTAAATTACCTAAGACAAGTGGAGTCCGCTCTCCGCTTTCCTCTCTCCCCTCTCCACTTCCGCGCCTAGGAAAACCAGGCTTTAGGTCGACATAGAGAGGTGCCGTCTAGATTATCTGTATGGATGATTACCAAATTATACAGATTATTATTCTAATCCATAGGGATGAAAATTAGCCTCAAAATTCGTAAAACTGAGCGGTCAGACATGTTCAAGGCAGCTGCTTGTTTTCAGGCGGGCCTACGAGGACTGTTTTCCACAGCAGCACGCACTCTATCGAATGTTTGTTGTCTGGCGTCCGATTTGACTTTGGAAGGCCTGTCACCTCCCTTTTCAACGCAGAAGCCGTTGTCCTTAAGCATGTAACCCACTGCATTATTGTGTTACGCAATGGAACTTCTCCATGTCGCCTTAATTAAAAGAATGCATGAAACTGCCGCTGAGAGGCAATGAATGAACTCACTATTTAATAAAAACGACTCCATAACAACCGCACTAGTTCAGGCGAACACTGATTTATGACTACAAAAAATGGCATCGTGTGGGCTTTCCAACGAGCCTACTCTCACCACTCTCGGACGACCTGTCGCTGAACAGAGCTCTGCAGAAAATAGATCGGGTTTTTTGCCACACCCTGTATATATATCTGTAATAAACAAGTAAACTAGGCCTACAGTGAACTTATTATCCATAAAATTAACATGGGAATTTCAAATTTAGAGTTTTTTTTTCTGAAACCATTAGACTCTTAACCGTACAACAACTCTTCAATAACTTATACTAAATTTTTTTAGCCATACAAAATGATCAGGAAATAAAATGTGAAATTTAATATTTTGAGGTTGAAAAATGGGAAACCCAATTTTCACCCAGTTAAACCCCATACCTATAGTTCGATCATGCTGGCTCACAAACCCGTTTGAATAAATGTACAGTAGACTCCCTCTTATCCGGACTGCTTTTAACTGGACATCGGTTTAACCAGACTACACTCGGCGGAAATGACATCTCTTTAACCGGACTATTCTTATCAGCACATTGGTTTAATCGGACTAGATTGGCAGGAAGTGGGCGGTACTGAAACGGCAGTTCTCGTGGGAAAGATTTGAGACCAGTGATCACGTGTATAAATACATGCTCTCCTAAATATACGTTCCACGCACAGATCTGTAGTCTATGTGGACGGGCAAATGCAAGAAGCCGCCAACCTCTTTTTATAAAAAAAAAATTTAAAAAAATGTAAGTCAAATACCTACTGCATAGTGCATACAGTATGCAGTTGAACGGTCCGTTTTAACATGTTTTTGGGGACGTCGGTTTAACCGGAAACCCGTTATCCCGACTGGCCTCGGTCCCGAGGAGTTCGGATAAGAGGAAGTCTACTTTAGGTTTACACATTTGTACCAAATTTCCATCAAAACTAGATGATTTTTACTCAAGTTATCGTGCTAGTTAAAACCTATATATTACAAGTGGGCCTGTATATCGTTATAGGCCTATAATTGGGTGAAAACATTTCTACGGGACAATCACTAGGTCCTTGTTCAAGAAATGAATTGATTAACAGTCAAATGTTGATATTGCTTCAATAAAATATGCTGGTAGACAGGTTTGCTAGTAACCAATATGGCGATCCTGGCATTTTGGGTTATCTCGTAAATAATAATTTTTCATCATGACATAGCGCCGGTCAAATAACAAGCAACCGGCACTACTGTCCACGAGAGTTAAGAAGTTCCTTGAGCCAGGGCCAATGCAGCAGTGTTTGGAGGTTATTGCATACTATTTTCAAGCGCTAAGGATGAGGGCTTGTATGTATCTACATACTCGGCATAGCCTACTGTATGTATCTGTAAACATCTGTTGTTTAAACATCATTACTCATATCGTTGTTTGGGTGGGTGGGTGGTCGCATCATTTCATTTGCTTCACTGCTCTCTTGTGTCTTCGCACAGAAATTTTTGTTTTGATTCGTACTTTGCTTGCCGTTATAGAAAAACAAAAGCTGGGTTTCCTATAAGAAAGCGTGGTTTGACCATAGTGGAGAGAGGGCTTTAATTAGACGGGGGATTGAGATCTGTGACAATGAGTGTAAAGACAAAAAGTCATTAGGGCCAATAGAAAAATCAACATAAATTCAAACTATTGCAATGTTTCAGGAAAAAATATTATCAGATTTGTTTTAAGAGGTTTGATTAGTTGTTTTGATTAGTTTTGATAGGCCTGTATAGCTATAGGACAAGCTGTCTATCATGACAAAAATTTGATGAATAGAAATTTAACGTTCCAGAAATGAAGATGTAGATTGTGTATTCCCTGATATAAACGGGTCAAGCCTCGTGATTGCCGTATGTATTGGGTCAAATTAAGGGTTTTTACAAGACTTATTTATAAGGCAAACAGTGTATAAAAGGAGACTAACATGGCCAAACCACATATTTAACTTTTTAAAAGATGGGGCAAGACCAAGACCTAGCAACAGTGGTAAAGAGTCTGGTTGATAAGGTGGATAGTATAAAAACAACTGATCTGGCTGAAATTAAAAAAGATATGAAAGCTGTTAATGGTAAGTTAGAGTCTATAGAAAACAGAATTACCAGCTCTGAAGACCGAATTAAAGCATTGGAAGGTAAAGTTGAGGCATTGGAGGCCCCCCATAATGATCCTGTTACTGAGTTGGGCTTCGTTGTCGAGATAACTATGGAGGAAGTTAAAGAAAGAGCATTAAGAGCTAAGAATGTCATGCTGTTTGGTTTAGTCGAAAGTTCAAAGAAAAATGCGGAGGACAAGAAGAAGGATGATAGTACTCATATACACAAACTAGTGGATACTGTTTTACCAGATGTTGATGCCTCAACAAAAGTAGGCCTATTCTTGATTCAGAGGCAAGAGTGGTTGAGTTACTTAAGATTGCTTCTCATGAGTTCCTTCATAATTTGGATCCAGCTTTTGCTGGAGTGAAGTTAGCACGGGACAAAACCAAGCGTGAGTTGGAGTATTTGGATCATTTGAAAAAGAAGCTGGAGGAGCGTACTGGGGCGGTTGAATCTGATCTTACTATTAAATATGTCAATGGCACACCCAAAATTGTTATTTCAAAAAACGCTTAATTTCCCACGGTCAACCTAAAACCACTTTGCTATACCAGAATGTCAATGGCCTCCGGACCAAGATGGATTTACTGTTTGAAGCAGCTTCTATTACCACTTATGATATAGTTGTTCTTACAGAGACCAATTTGAACTCTTCTATCAGCACTTCTGAGTTGGGCTTTCACAACTACACTGTTTACAGAAAGGATAGGTCCTTGGAAACTAGTAATAAAACCTCGGGTGGAGGTGTCTTATTGGCAGTTCGAAATAACATATTATCTACAGAAGTCTGAAACACTGCTTATGATAATCTTGAAGCTTTATTTTTAACAACAGGTGCTGGCACATGAAGATTGTTACTATGTGCTGCCTATATACCTCCAAATCAGTCAACTCCCTATTATTCCCTTTTTGCTGATGCTGTTGTTGATATTACGTCAAGATGTGGCGAGTTTGCCTCTATTATCATCGTTGGGGATTTTAATCTTCCTGGCTGCAAATGGACCCATGATGATCCTGTGAACTTGATTGCAAGTGAAAGAGTCCTCCGTGAACTGTCATCATAACTGTTCTCCAACCCGTGGAGATCGTTGCCTCGACACGGTCGCTACAAACCTGGACATCTGGGCCTATGAGGTGGACGTGACCGAACATCTAGGTGCTGATCACAAAGTGGTGACTATAAGGACAAACATCGCCTCGGTGAGTACCATTTCAGATTTTCCTAGTTGGCACTCAGAATATAGTAGAAGTTTTAGAAATATTAAGGAGGTATTCTTCCACATTTCAGACATACTTTGTCTCTGGTAAACTGGACTGTCTTATTAATGGACTTAAGTCCTGAGTTAGCCCTAGAAACATTTTTTTATGAAATAAATTACTTATTTAACATCTACTTTCCTGAAAAGATTAAGGCAAAGGGCCATAGTACTAAGCCTAATTCTAAGTATGTGGAACCGAAAGTAAAGGCTAACACGTGGTAGGCCTAAA